ATCTCTCCATGCTGTTGTATATATCTAAAGTTTGTTTATTTTCCTTCATATACAGTATTATACCACAGTTAAATCTGTTTTACTGTTAATGGATATTTAGATTGCTTTTCTTTTGGAACTATTATTAGTAATGCTATTTTGGATAGTTTTATACTTTTCCTTTGTATATATGTGCAGTCATTTCTAGTGAGCGTATACCTAGGAGTGGAATTAGTGGGTCTTAGGATTTGCATATGTTAAACTTTAGTAGATAACACCAAATAGTTATCCAAGGTGATTATACCAATTTCCACTCCTGCTTACGGGGTATACAAGTTCTAGTTGCTCTTCATCCTCACCAACACTTGATATTGTCTGTCTCTTGTGGGTATAATCATATCTCATTGTGATTTTACCAGCATCTTTACCGTGTATTTACCTGATAACTTATGAGGTTGGAAATCCTTTCGTATGTTTGTTGGCCACTTGTATTATCAGTGACTTGTTTTTAAGAAATATCTTGTTCTATCCTTTGGATATTAAGTCATTCCACATATTCTTTCTCTGATGGCAGCTAATTTATAGTGTTGTTTTTTGCTTTTATTTATTTATTTTTTTACCTTTTTGCATGAGAGTATAGTGAAGTAGTTACTTGCTGTTCTGTCCCTGAATGTTTCACTCTATGTTTTAGTTATTTATGAGTTGTGTCCCCTAATGTGGATGAATGCCTCATGAGGGCAGGGGTTTTGTCCGTTTGGTTCATTGCTATTCCCCAGTGCCTAAAATAGTGCCTGGCATATAGTAAGTATTCATAGATATAAATGTGTTGAAAGAGCATATTTATTGCTAAGCATGCAGAATGCTATGGATTCATTATTTCAACTTAAATGTTTTTGTATTAACATTCCAATGCAGAGCATAGCATCGAAATTAGTAAGCACTGTTTTGCATCTATCAACCTATTTTCCTTTGTAAAATAATAAAGTCTTAGAGTGGGACACAGTTTAGAGATCTTGTCAAACTTTTCCTGTGTTTGCTTCCCACACTGGGGTAGGAGTAGCCCCAAGTGTGCAGCAGTATGCCACAGTGTGCCAAGTGGTTGAAAGCACTGATTCTGACGCCAGACAGCCAAGGATCTAGCTGTGTGTCCTTGGACAATTTACTTAACTTCTCTGTGCCTCACTTCTCATCTGTGAGATGGAAATAATGAGTACCTGCCTCATAGGACCTTTAAGATGGTTACGTCAAGTGCTTAGAACAGTGCCTGACACATAGTAAGCAGTATGTGAGTGTTAGCTATAAAGGTAACATGAAAGTGGGGAACTAACACAGATATGGTACAGAATACAAATCACTTTTTTAAAAAAGAGAAAGTGAGATTTCCAAGAAATTTTGCACTTGCCTTAGGCTATTGAATTCAGGAAACAAATGAGTAAGTGGGCAAGTGAGAGGCAGTGTCTTTACAGGAAGAACCAAGGATCAGCTATAATTCTGCTTAGATGTCCCTGTGACTGTGGATCAGTGGTTTTTATTGCTAATTAGCCAGTAATCCTGATGTGAGGAGCTCCCTACCTAACAAGAGAGATGACTCCTTTGTTGGATAGAACTCATTGTCAGAAAATTCTTTCTTCTGTTGATCTGAAATTGACCTCTTTCGTCACTTTATCTTGGTCCTGGTTCTTTCCTTTGGAGTAATATGGAGTAAATAGAGGTAAACAGGTCAGTTGGTTGTGTTGCTCTGTTAGCATTTTCTTCTTCAGCTTAAATGTCTCTAGTGTCCTCGATTCTCCTCCATGTGACATGGTTTTTGAACCCTTTATCACGCTGGTCATCCTTCTCTGGGTAATTCACTTGTCAGTATTTCTCTTAAAATGCAAGACCCAGAGCTAGTAACTGACCATGTTTCACTTAAGCTTCCACCATGAGAAGGCACACAGTAAAATGCAAAAACGATTATTTGCATTTTAGGCCAAGCTGTGTCATTATTGGCTCAATATTGGGTTAGTCACTAATTTTAGCTTCATTTTCCTCAAATAGAATGATTAGCCAATATTAATGAAAGATCATTAACAAACTTTTCTTGATATGGGTAACTTAGTAAAAGGAAGCTAAGTATTTGCTTTAACAAGAAAAAAAGTGTATCAGCCTTCATGTTAAATATCAAATTTTTGCTAATGTTGACCATAGTCAATTAATGTGAAAATCTAAGCAAAGAGTTCTAAGATGATATCATTTCAGTGACATTGCAGCTAGTATTATTATTATAAACTGTACAGGTAATAATATCTTGGGTGATGTTAGCTTTATTGCCTAAAAACTAAGTTTCTTTTAGGTATTGCAGTTAATCTCGCTGGTTAACTGAAACCACAGTTACTTATATTTGACATCCTATTCCAGTTTATCTGAGTATATATTATGAAAGATAATAGTCCCCCATTTTGTTGATTTCCCTATGTAAGGAAATCATTTATTTTTAGTTTTCCTAAATCTATTTTTTAATAACCTCATCATTTTGATTTGAAAAAGTTCCTGGAATCTTCTTTGGAGTACTTAATTTGTAGTCAAATCTCATCCCTACCATTGAGAAACTTTGGATTCTAGGGCAAGTCATTCGACTGGCTTATACCCACGTTTCCTTTTCTATGAATTGACAGGCTTGCCCTTGAGTACTCCAACAGGCTTTTATTTCTCTGCTTCTGCCTCTATCCCATCCTTTTTCCATACAGCAGTCAGAAGGGTCATTTAAAAATGTAAGTGAGGGGGCCGGCCTGGTGGCGTAGCGGTTAAGTTCGCATGCTCCACTTTGGCAGCCTGGGGTTCGCAAGTTCAGATCCCGGGCGCAGACCTATGCACCGCTTATCAAGCCATGCTATGGCAGTGTCCCATATGAAGTAGAGGAAGATGGGCACAGATTGTTAGGCCAGGGCCAATCTTCCTCACCAAAAAAAAAAAAAAAAAGTAAGATCCTGGCATTCCCCTGTTTAACACACTTCAAAAATTTCCCCATGTGCTTAGAATAAAATCGGAACTCCTCCCTGTGGCCTATAGGAGCCCGGGTGAGCTGGCCTCTGCCCATCTCTCCAACTTATTCCTCTTGCTCAGTACCTTTTAGCCACATTGACCACTCAGTTTTTTCATAGCACTTCACATTATAATACACACATTATAATAATGTGTGTTTTTGGTTTGTTTACTTGTTACTTGTTCCCCCCACTAGACTAGATGCTTGATGAGGGCAGATAATGTATTTTCATTCACTGATCTAAAACCTAATGCACAATAAAATGTATTGGACACAGACGCTCACATATTTATTGTCCTTAAAATCCTATGATTCCTGTTACTTTCAGATAAGTGTACAGCTTTTCCTTTCCCTTGGTAGTGTTGAGCAACTCCTGCCCACCACTTGGACATTCATACTAAAATAGCTGCCTGCTGATATTTCTTAATGCTAATTTTTTGGTAAGTCTCAAATTGCAATGCCGTATCAAGGCTTGTTAAGTCCCAGAGATATCAGTTTCTGTTGCATTCTTTAGTTGATTTATTTCTAGAAGAGTTTTAAAATAATTGCAGAGTGCTCCAATGATTTGTTTGAATGTGACTTTGTAGCCTTGGCCTGTCTGTTTTTAAAACGTGATTCTAGGCTGAGCTTGTTTTAAATTTGTTGATGTTATTATGATATTGTTGCATAGGCGTGTCAGAAATTTACTCCTGCTAATAGTGTTAATACCAATATCTGTCATCTGAAATACAAGAATCTTTCTGAAAATTTAGCTTAATATTGTCACCATGCTACCCAGAAATGGTCAATTATTCGTTTGCCCAAAGGGAGAGATTTAGTCCACTCGTAGCACTTACTATTGAGCCTGTGGTTTATCTCAGCTGAGGTATGGTAGGAGAGGTTCATCCTGTTCTCTCTCTTCAGATTTAAGCTTAGGAAATTGACTCATTTTTTGACCGTTTTCCCCTTTCATTTTTGTATTTGACAGTAACTGTGGGGCTGAAGTTCTGGGGAGGTACTTGGCTCTGTCTGCTAAAAGCGTTCCAGTGGTTGAACCGGCTCTGGCAACTGAGCACATTTCATTTGAGCTCTTCAAAGCTGCATAAATCTTGGCAGAACCCCATAGAAACCATAGTGTATAATTCTTTTTTAAAGCCATCATATTATTAAATAAAGAATTTGAGGTAAAGTAATTGCTTTAATGGTATTAATACTACAATTTAAAAAGATCCTTTACCATTATCATTAGTGACTTTATGATGTGGTCCAAGGACCTTACTAGGAAGAAATCCTGAATCCTAAGGAGGTACTTACAGTAACAGGGAAAAGTCCCAACGCTTTCCTCATCTGCAGCCTCTTTCTTGGATGCTTTGGAGGATGTGATAGTTCTGCCATATGCAACCCACTCTTAAGCTTTAAGCTGACTCACCCAGGCATGAGGTGGTCTGATGTTGTGGAAAGGGCATGAGTTTGGGGAGTCAGGAAGACCTGAGTTAAAATCTCTACTCAGACATTTAATAATGGTGAAGTTGATTAAGTTACTTAACGTTTCTGAGTCCCAGTTCCTTATTTGTGAAAATAAGGATAATAATACCTACCTGTGGGGTTGTTGTGAATATTGAATTAGATAATATGTGTGAGATTTCTTGCCATATAGTAGGTTCTCAGTAAATTAATTTGCTTTCTTCTTCTGCATTAATATTCTAAATATTCTCTGGCAGTGGTGGAAATCCCCTGCATCTGCAAATTCAGAGGTATCTAGCGAGTATTATTTTATTCTGACTTGCAGCTGTCCCCCCAAGAATGTAAATTCGAAGAAGTATATAGTAAAGTTGACCAGTTCATCTATTATTGATGAATTAAATAGGGGAGGATGGCATTTGGGTAATCAGAAAACATTATCTTAAAATAATAAAAAAATTATTTTTAAAATGATTACATTACAATATTTTGAAAGCCTATTGATGTTAATTAAAATTATTTTGTTATTGACCATTGTTTTTTTTATACCTGTCCCCAGGGAAGGAAAAATATGCAAGATGGTGCAAGTGATGGTGAAATTCCAAAATTTGATGGTGCTGGATATGATAAGGATCTGGTGGAAGCCCTTGAGAGAGACATTGTATCCAGGAATCCTAGCATTCATTGGTTAGTCTTTTAAGTTCTTTAATTAAAGTAGCAGAGAAAATAAGTTCTAGGTTGGCTTGGTATGAGTCTTCTGCTGTTATCCATTAGTCTCCCGATTATGACCTCATCCATAATATGAGTGTATGGAACTGATAGGACAGTTCTTCTTTCAGAATATACCCAGACGTTTTACATGTTAATTTGATGTTGATGTAACTGACAAAGGTTGTTCATTGAATAACATGTCCTCATTAATAACCGCAGTGTTTTCACTGATCATTTTATGCAGTAAGAATTAGAGTAATGTTCTTAATATAAGAATAATTTATAAGTAAAAAAAATTAAAAGAGTCAGTATTGACCATAAATAAAAAGTGTCCCTGAATAAACATGAAACTTTGCTGTTCTTGCAAAGGGATGACATAGCAGATTTGGAAGAAGCTAAGAAGTTGCTAAGGGAAGCTGTTGTTCTTCCAATGTGGATGCCTGACTTTTTCAAAGGGATTAGAAGGCCATGGAAGGTGAGAATTTATTAAAATAATATAGGTATAAAAATGCTGCTTACATGATAACGAAAGACAGCATCGTTGTTTCCTATTATGTTTATTAACACAGTTTATAAAGGTTGGGGGAGGTTTGTGTACATTCCAAATACCTGGATTTGAATTTGTAATTGAGGCGTGCTGCCTCTGCATGGAAGGAGAGGTGCTTGGAGTGTTGAAACTATAGTCTTCAGTTAAAGTCACGTCCCTCAGGGTCGTTGAGCTAGAGATTAGTTTTAAGAATTTCCTAGATGTCTGCTTCTGTAAATAAAGAGTTAATAAGCGGGGCCGGCCCGGTGGCGCAAGCGGTTAAGTGCTCGAGCTCCGCTGTGGGGGCCCGGGGTTCGCCGCTTTGGATCCCAGGCGCACACCGACGCACTGCTTGGCAAGCCATGCTGTGGTGGCGTCCCATATAAAGTGGAGGAGGATGGGCACGGATGTTAGCCCAGGGCCAGTCTTCCTCAGCAAAAAAGAAAAAAAAAAAAGGAGGATTGGCAGATGTTAGCACAGGGCTGATCTCCTCACACACACACAAAAAAGTTAACAAGCAAACTAAAGAGTAATAGTACATAGTCTTATAGAATAAGTGTTTGATAAAATAAATATCTTTCTAAAAGTTGGCATATTTCTCACTAATTATTTCGATCACTTCCCTGAGTCTTGGTATAATTCTTAGACGTAATCAGAATGTTTGCTTCTTTCTAGCTTACCCTCTGCTTTAGAGTTTAAAGCTTGCCCAGGACCAGTTCCTCCTAAGTCCAGTGTTTTCATTTTAGCATATTAAAAAACCCTTCCAATGACTGCTGCCTGGAACTCTTTTTGGTCTTAGCCATAGGCAGAGTCTTCCTTTACTCTGACTGAGAGAGTGAAATAAAAGCGTGATCTGACTTTGCCCTTCTGAATTAGCTAGAAAGGTCTGTTTCTCTTCCCAATACCTCCTCCTCTTTTGGCTTGCTTAAAAGTAGAGACGAGGAGAAATTGTGTATTTACATGAGTAGCTTGGAACACCCATGGCATTTTGATTGCCTGTCACAACTTAAAACTTATAGACTGTTTGTTATCGATTTACCTGATTTTCGGAACATATTACCATACCTTTCCCCTATATTTATAACAATATTGAAAAGAGAGATTAAAGTCTTAAAATAGATATTTAAAGGAGTTTTGAAACAGCTGGAATGGTAGGTGTAACCTACCTATTATGATGAGCTCTGTAAGTTTTTAGCAGGAGAGTGATTTGCAAATGTAGAAAGATCACCGTGGCAGCAGGGTGGAGGATGGATTGGAGGATGGATCTATGGATCCATCCATAGATGGATATAGATGAAGAATCTGATTAGGAGGCTGTTGCAATAGTCAAGCCAAACAATGAGGACCTGAACAAAGGCATTTGTTATTTGGCTAGTGAAAAATGGTTGGGCTTCTGAGAGATGTTTAGAAGGTACAAGTGATAACATTATGACTGATAGTTTATAGGGATGAGGGAGAGGGACGAGTCGTGTGACTCCCAGATTCTGGGTTTGAATTGAACGAGTATGCAGTTACTTCTGACACCAACTACCCCAGATTGAGCCAGACTTCACAAGTTGAGGGCAGTTTTCCATAAGACTGCCCTCACTTCAGATGCCAGGCTGCAGACTTGAGGGTCTCCAGGTCACCCTCACTTCTGAGCAGCTGGCTATAAATTCGGGGATTTTCACTACCCGCTCAGGTTCGATAATTCCCCAAATGATTCACAGGATTTAGGAAAGCATTGTACTTATAATTACAGTTTTATTATAGCAAAAGGGGGCAAATCAGAACTGGCCAAAAGAAGAATTGCATAGGGTGAGATCTGGGAGGATGGTGAAAGTGAAGCTTCTGTTGTCCTCTCCCCATGGAATCAGGATGCTGTACCCTCCTAGCGCACGGATGTGTGACAATATGTAGAGTATTGCCAATGGGGAAGCTCACTCAAGCTTCAGTGTCCACAGTTTTTTATTGGGGTTTCATTACATAGTCATGATTGATTGAATCATTGCCCATGTGTCTCAGTCTCTAGTCCCCCTTCTTTCCCCAGAGGTCCAGTTGACAGCACTGGCTCAAAGCCCCAGTCCTCTAATCATGTGGTTGGTTTTTCTGGAAAGGCCAGCCCCCATCCTGAGTTACCTCATTAGCATAAACTATATAGTGGCAAGCCATGAGTCACCTCATTAGCATAATATTTCAGGGCCCAACATGAACAGAGATACTCCTGTCACTGGGGAAATTCCAAGGATTTAGAGTCTACCTCCCAGGAACTGGGGAAAAAGGCCAGCCAAATGTTTTATTATATAGAGTACAATGAACTGATATTGGAAATTGAGAAGAGGAGCAGATTTAAATGGAAACAAAATATGTTTAGGTAAATACTCAGCAAGTAATTGGAAATAGAGGTCTAGAGCTTAAGATAGAGTTTGAGTTTAAATTAAAATTGCAAGATATAAGTGGTGGTTGATATTATGGGTATGGAAATTGTTCAAAGAGTGTTATAAGGGGAGAAGAACAAAAGACTTAGAATTGCTTTGGGAATGTAAAGGGCAGGGGGAAGAGGAGACCTGAAAGACACTGAAGATAGTCATGAGTAGGAGAAGCATCAGGAAAGAGCAGTGTCACAGAACCACCTTAGGGAGAAAGGGCTTTGAAAAGAAGGAAATGAACACCAGATTTCAACAGCGTCAAGGGTCAGAGAGAAGGAAAGAAGATATGAATTGAAGAGTGACCACTGAATTAGTAAATTAGGTATTTTTAGTGAGGTAGTGGAGGCAGAAGTCAAGTGTAGCTTGTGAAGAAAAAGTGGTAAGCATAAACCATTTCTTTAAGAAGGTTGGCTGAGAAGGGAAGGAGAGGTGGATAGTAGCTAAAGAATTTGTAGGGTCAAGTGAAGGATTTTTTTTTTTAAATGGGACAGATTTAAGTATGTTTTTCTACGAGGGGAAAGAACCAATAGAGAAGGAGATACAGGAAATAGAGGAGATAATTGAAGGAGTAATGTCATGAGGAGGTGAAATTTATAAATACTGTACTGTATCTATGAGCTGTATCTAGTATACAGATATTAATGGTGGAAATTAACTCCTACTGGAGGGCCGCATTAATGACATTACAGGAACTGAGATGGCATTGAAAGGGGACATTAGAAAGAGAAATATGAACTTTGTTATAGTTGTGCCTATACCATTAGTTGTTTTTACAGTTTTAAAAATATCAATCTCATGCACAAAGGCTCCTTCCTTTCCAAAGCAAAATTTTTTATAAAACTAGTGTTTCAAATCCTAGTGATCCCGGGTTGTTCTGGGTATTAAAATTCTATAGCTAGAAAAGGGGTTGGAGAGTTTCTGAATTTAGAGTTTATGAATCTTTGACGTGCACATAGTTTTCAAAGTTTAAATCCCCAAAGTTTAAATTCTCAGAATAACTAATAATTAGTTACTATTAACTAGTAAATGGATCTTTATTTTTGATTAAAAGCTATATATTATGAGTGTGTTTTGGCAGATAGGTGTTGTCCCTTAGGAGGGCAAGGAATGTATAGCTCTACTACATGTGGCAGAAAATGTTGTCTTGTTTTCATTATGTTTTAAGAGAGCAGTCACTCTTAAGTGGTGTTCAAGACTGTACATATTTATCTTCTTCTATTCCAGAATCTGGATAGATTCTTTCTAAATATATCAGAAGATTCCTTGTTGTCTAGGCCCTTCATTAGCCCATCTCTGAATACCTCTGGTTTGAGACGTTTTGTGAAATCACTCTAAATTCACCATGATTTTACATGACAATTGAGTTTATCTTTTGATGGTAAAATTTTCACTTACATTAATAGTTGATGATATTTTATAAGAAAGCATTTTAATCTGATAAATCATTTAATACACCTTTTGAAATTCCAGGGTGTGCTGATGGTTGGACCCCCAGGCACTGGTAAGACTATGCTAGCTAAAGCTGTTGCCACTGAATGTGGCACAACATTCTTCAACGTTTCCTCTTCTACACTGACATCTAAATATAGAGGTGAATCTGAGAAGTTAGTCCGTCTGTTGTTTGAAATGGTGAGTGATGATATATTCAGATTTCAAAGTACTGTTTGTGTAGGCGAATGTTATCCCTATAGTCTAGATCTATTCACCCAGTGATCTTTTTTAAAAAGGGCAAGTGTAGTTTAGTTTAATAGTTCTTGACACACTAATAAGACATGGTGTGATGGGTTTTGTGGAGTAGTTGATGTGTCTTCAGTGTATCTTACTCTCTGAGGTAAAGAACGCCCTTTGGAATCCTATCCAGTGCGTGTAGAAGAGACTTTGGAAAAGTGTATGGTTTGACTGGTATTTCTGGATCTCTAATGAGCTGGTTGAACAGAAGTATATTTTAATATGTATTTTAAAAATCAGTTAGAAATTGATCTGTCATTAAAGTTTGTTTCTTTTTCATAAGGGATTTGCAATAGTTACTTAAGAATGCATATTTGAGGCTAGAGTTTGATGATTTATCTTCAAAAATTTTTTGTATTACAGAAATTTTCAAACACAAAAGTGGAAATAATAGTATTTTGAATCCCCATGTATCTGTCACTCAACTTCACCAACCATATAACTTATCTTTTATTTTTAGAAGTTTCTTTTTTCTGATGTGAATGATTGATTTAACCTCTGTCAATAACCAAATGATGGCATTAAAGCAGTGAGACTTTCTGCTCTTTTTTACCATTGTTTTAGAGGGAAGAAATGGCATTTTTAAAAATTTAGGTTATTTTATGAGATAATTGAATGATTTCTTTAAAATATTTTCACAAAGGCTAGATTTTATGCCCCCACCACAATCTTCATTGATGAGATAGATTCTATCTGCAGTCGAAGAGGAACCTCTGATGAACATGAGGCAAGTCGCAGAGTCAAGTCTGAACTACTCATTCAGATGGATGGTAATTGATATTTAATTACTGTCTCAAAACTCGTTATATTTCCTTTTTGAATTTTGTGTAGATTCATACTTTGGAAATTCTCAATGAATGAACTAGTTGGCAGCCTGGATTTATTTGTAATCATTTGTTCGTCTACCCAGTAGTTCATTTGTTCATGCACTCAAAAAGCATTTATGGCATACTTGTTATGAATCCTGCGCCATTTCAGGTTCTGAGCTTACAAAGAAAAGAAATGTTATGGCCTTCAAGGAGCTTACAATTTAGAGCAAAAGTTCTAGAGATTTGGTCCAGGGTCCCAGGGGTCTTTAAGACCCTTTTAAAAGGTCTGCTAAACTGTTTCATAATAATGTCAAGACGTTATTTGGCTTTTTCACTCTCATTCTCTCACAAGTGTTCAGTGGTATTTTTCAGAGGTTACAAGATGTGTGATATCATAATAGATAGCAGAAGCAAATAGGAGACTCCAGCTATTCTCTATTGAGTCAGACATTAAAGAGATTTGCAAAAATATGAAAAAATGCCACTCTTCTTACTAATTTTTTTGGTTTTGAAAATCATAGTCATTTTTTTATTTTATTTTTTTGCTGAGGAAGATTCGCCCTGAGCTAACATCTGTTGCCAGTCTTCCTCTATTTTGTATGTGGGTTGCTTGCACAGCATGGCCGCTGACGAGTGGTGTAGGTCCATGACCAGGAACCAAACCTAGGCCACTGAAGCAGAGTGTACTGAACTTAACCACTAGGCCATGGGGCCGGCCCCAAAATCATAGTTATTTTTCATAAGAATATGTTATTTATGTTAACAAATAATGGATTTATTATTGTTACTTTAAAATGAATTAATATTTTTGGAGGCCGGCCCGGTGGCGCAGTGGTTAAGTGCGCGTGCTCTGCTTCGGCTACCTGAGGTTCGCAGGTTCGGACCCCCGGCGTGCACCGATGCACCGCTTGTGAAGCTATGCTGTGGCGGTGTCTCATATAAAGTAGAGGAAGATGGGCACAGATGTTAGCCCAGAGCCAGCCTTCCTCGGCAAATAAAAAAAGAAGAGAATTTGCGATGGATGTTAGCTCAGGGCTGATCTTCCTCACACACACAAAAAATGAATTAATATTTTTTAAAATTCTGTTATAATTTCTAATGATAAATATTGATAGATATATTCTACACACACAAAAGCTGTTTATATCAATAATTTTTAAGAGTATAAAAGGATCCTGAGACCAAAAAGTTTAAGAACCACTGATCCAAATGAGAAGCACACAACTTAAGAGACAATTGCAATACATTATGAGTTCTGTGGTAGAACTGAAGTGTGGGTGTAGTGAAAACACAGTAGGAAAGGTACCACCCAGACTAAGGGAGTCATGGAAGGGAATAGCTGAGTTGGGCTTTAAGCATTGACAGAAGTTATTCAAAGAAGAAAAGGCATAGGGAAGCGGTGGGAAAAAGAGAGTGATGGGCCCAGAGCTGCTTTTTAGAGGTATTTTACTCTGGTAGTTGTGTGGTAAAACAGGAGGCTATTTAAGCAGACTGTGAGAAAACATAAAATATGTTTAAAGAAAAAGTATCCAGAATGTGGTGTTTCAAAACAGGTTTGGTTAGCCACCAGCCATGGATACTCATTGAATACAGTCGTATGTTGCTTAATGATGGGACATCTTCCTCACCAAAAAAAAAACCAAAATCACTGAGTATAAATTTAGTCAGCTGAATTTTGTTGAAGAGTATTTGTGACCTGTTGATTATTAGTTGGACAGCTTGATTCTTTGTGATAATGTTTGAAATAAGAGTTTAGTAATAATTTTAAGAAAATAACCATATTGAACTGGGTTGTTTTAAAGCCATGACTTTGTTATGCTAGGCTAGAAAGTCTTATCAGTAAAGTTTATGAGTTTTTGATATCTTTTTTCACTGCATATTTTCCAGAGTTTGCATTGTGTAACCTCGTTTTTTTTTTTAATCTTTCCTTGCGAATTTTTATTAGTAAATGATTCTTAAATGCAAAGGATTAGAGGTGAGGGCATATCATCTATACATTCATTTGCCCCATAAGTCTTTATTCAGTGCCGGCTACATGCCAGGGAGCGTTCTAGGCACGCGGAATCCTGTCCCTGCCGTACGGTTTATTAGAGCGAGGGCAGAAAAAACATACAGATCAGATGACGACATAGCTATGGAGAAAAATAACCCAGGATAAGGGGCAAATTTAGGTGTGTGTATGTGACAATGGGGAGGAGGTGATGCTAATTTCTGCAGGGTAGTTAGGGCCCGGCTCTCGCACACGTGGTTTCCGCACACCCCAGGCACGGGGATGCAAATGCAAAGCCTGGACGCTGGAGGGTGCCGGGCCTGCAGAGGAGGCCTGCAGAGAGCAGATGACCGGGATATGAGGTCAGAAAGCAAGTGGGAGCCTCTCGGGCCCGTTCCAAGATCGCCCCGCGCCCTAGCGAGGCCCTGGCGGCCGCGCCGCACCCAACATGGCGGCCGCGCGGGCTAACCGGAAGTGTCTTAGGGTAAAATTTTCATTCTGAAAAAGTAGACTGTATGTGCATGTACTTGATTTGGTATTAAAAGAAATGGTATTTTCAGTAGTGACTGATTATTAGGTTCATTCTTAAATTTCTTATTTATTTTTTACGAGTCGCTTAGAAGTTTGAAGGACAAAATTATTACGGTATAACCTGTCTTTCAAAATTATGATTGCATGCTAGTATGTTAAATAAACGTGAACCCTCTTCTGTTCTCTCTTCTTGAGAAAATCAAATAAATTAGACTAACAACTAAAATAAAAATTTTTTTGAGGAACTTCGTTATTTAAAAAAATAAGAAAGGAATAAAACAGCATAATCTCTCATGCCTTTTCTGTTCAGAGGAAATATACATTCATTTTCTTACAGAAAGAAATAGTTTTCTTATTGGATTAGAATCCTGTAATAGATTAAATTGTGAATTCTTCTACCTCCTTGTTTTATAGTTATCTGCTGATGTGTCTGATTCTGCCACCATGTAGAGGTCAGAAGGACAGCATTATTCTCATCACTGAGCGTACCACCAGGCCTGTGGCTGATACTTATAAATGTTGGTTGCATGAAAGAATAAAGAACTGTAAGAAAAACACTCTTTTTTCCCCTTACTGTGTGTAGGAGTTGGAGGAGCTTTAGAGAGTGATGATCCTTCCAAAATGGTTATGGTGTTGGCTGCTACTAACTTCCCATGGGACATCGATGAAGCTTTGCGAAGGAGATTAGAAAAAAGGATATATATACCTCTCCCAACAGGTATGATGCCTTCCTTCTACTATGTTTTGATCTTTCTTCTACTTCCTGTTGCCTTTTTCTATTTCTCTTAAGTCTTTATTCCATTGGTATTCTGCTTAGAGAAGTTTATAGCATCACAAAACCAAGTTGTAGTAGATGGAAACAGGCCACAGTACTCTGTTGAAGTTCCTTACATTTCAGAGCAGTTCTTACATTCAGAGCAGTATTCGTGTTAATAAATTTGGTAGGACATCTAAGTTTTTACTTTTAAACTTGAAGAGTCTTCATTAAACCTTAAGTGATTACACATAAAGTTCTCTTGGGATCTTTTTCAAAGTATGCTACTGTGAAAAATATGATTTCATCCTATTGATGAATATTGAAATTTTCAAAAATGAATTTTTTCTTTTTATATTGACATAAAATTTACATAAATTGAAATGTTCAAATCTTAAGTGTATAATTTGATGAGTTTTGACAAATGAATTCTCCTATTTAATCAGTACCTTACTCAAGATATAGGACGTTTGTGTCACCTCACAAAGTTTCTGGGTTCTTCCTCCCAGTTAATTCATACCCCCAATAGGCATTCACTTTCTGATTTTTGTCACCATAGATTAGTTTTACCTATTATTAAACTTCATATAAATGGAATCATGATGTATGTACTCTTGTGTGTCTGGCTTCTTTCACTTAGCATAGTGTTTTTGAGATTCATCCAAGTGGTTACATGTATCAGTAGTTTACTCGTGGTATGGTTATACCAAAATTTGTTTATTCTCTTTTTGATGGACATTTGAGTTATTTCTAGTTTTTGACTGTTTACATGAAACTATATAAATATTCTTGTACAAATCTTTTTATGGATGAATGTTTTCAATTCTTTTGGGTAATACAGATAAAAATAGAATAGGTGGATCATAGGGTAGGTATATATTTAACTTTATAATACCTGAACTGTTTTCCTAAGTGGTTGTACCATTTTTACTCCCACCATTGATGAATGAGAATTCCAATACTCCACATCCTTGCCAACATTTGGTATTGTCAGTATTTGAATTTTAGTCATTCTATTAAGTGAGAAATGCTGTCTCATTTTGGTTTTAAATCACATTTCTCTGATGACTAATGATGTGGAACACCTTTTCATGTGTCCGTTGGTCATTGGTATATCTTTTGTGCAGTGTCTTTTCAAGTCTTTTTCTCAGTTTTTAATTGGCATATTTGTTGTTTTATTAATGCTGCATAGTTCTTTATCAGATACATGCATTGTGAATATTTTCTTCTGGTTTGTGGTTTGCTTTTCAGTTTTCTTTATGGTGTCTTTTTCATAAGCAGAAATTTTAATTTTGATGAAGTCCTCTTGTCAAGTTTTTTTTTTTTTTTCATGGATAGTGCTTTTTGTATGTTAAGAAATCTTTGCTTACCCCAAGGGGGTGAAGGTTTCTCCTATATTTTCTTTTAGAAACTATAGTTAGATCTGTGATTCATTTTGAATTAATTTTATGTATATGTATCAGTTAGGAGTTGAGTTTCCTTTTTTTCCTATGTATATTAAGTTGTTCTAGCACTACTTGTTAAAAGGAGTTTTCTTTTTTCATTGAATTACTTTGGCACCTTTGTATAAATTAATTTTTTAAAATTATTTAAAAAAAATAGGTATAGGGCTATCTAGTCAGGTTATCTGTTTTTTCTTGAGTAAGCTTTAGTACCTTGTGTCTTTCAAAGAATTTGTCCATTTCCTTCCAGTTGTCAAATTTATTGGGATTTGACCTAATACAAATGTGGAAGCTGACTAATGGTTTCTGTGAAGCTGTTGATTTCATGTCTGGTTCTGGAGCCCGAAGTCAGTAGGGAGAGCAGTCAGGAAGAGAAGATGAAGTGCTGGAAACAAGGACAAACTATAACCTGTGGGGATATGCTGGAACCCATGAGGATAGACTGGAACCCATGTTGGGCTCTCATTTGCCTCTAAGATTTCTAGTTTTGTTGGTTGGGATGTCCTATAGAAGAAGCTGGCACTATTTGTAACTAACAAATATAAGTACTAAATATACGTCTGGCTGAGGAGTCAAAAAAGCTCAAAGAGGAAATCTGGCAGGAGCTGGAAAGAGTTGGAGTTCAGGTGTTGCCCCACACTAACGAGGTGAGCCAGCAGATAAGTGACAATATCCATGAGCTGCAAATGCACTTCAGGCCCTGAACCAACTTTCTGAGTTGATTCATTTCTGCCTCCCAGATCTCACCCCTAATGACTCATGTGGTCCACACTAACCCAGAACTATGCGATGAAGAGAATTCTGGGAAATGAAATTCCAGCTTTGCTGAAGTCAACATAATACAAATCCATACACCTTATTTTCCTTTTATTGTCTGTAGGATCTATAGTAATGGCTCAATTTTCATTCCTAAAATTGGTAATTCGTGTTTTATCTCTATTGTTCTTGATCATTCTTGCTAGAGATTTATCAATATTGTTAATCTTTTCAAAGAACCAACTTTTTGCTTTGTTAATTTTCTGTTTCCTATTTCATTGATTTTTTTCTCTTATTTTTATTATTTTTCCCTTATACTTGGGGTTTAATTTTCTCTTCTTTTTCTGAAGTTGGAAACTTAGACTATTGATTTTAAACCTTTCTTCTTATTTTGATATAAACATTTAAGCTGTAAATTTCTCTTTAAGCACTTCTTTGCTTTCATCTCACAAATTTTTCTATATCGTATTTTCTTTACTGTTCATTTAGAAATATTCTCTAGTTTTCCTTTTTCTTTCTTTCTTTGACCCTTGGGTAATTTAGAACTCTGTGGTTTAGTATCCAAATATTTGAGGATTTTCTAGGTATCTTCTTGTTGTTGATTTCTAATTTAATTCCATTATAGTCAGGAACTACTATGTAAGATATCAGTTTTTTAATTTTATTGAGATTTATTTTATGATTCAGCATATACTCTATCTTTGTATAACATTCACCAAGCCATACCACAGATTATTTATTCTGTCCTTGTTGATTATAATATTCTATAAATGTCAGATCAATTTGGTGTGATAGTATTGTTCAAATCTTCTAGATTTTCTACTGATTTTTTTACCCTGTTTTTTCTTTCAATTACTGAGAATGGGTTGTTAAGCTCTTCAAGTATGATTATGAATTTCTTTATTTTTTGCTTTAATTCTATCAATTTTTGCTTCATGCATTTTGAAATTCTGTCATTAGGTACATAACAATTATTGTTATATTTTCTTGGTCATTCTACCATTATGAAATGTCTCTCTTTATCTCTGGTTATACCCTTTGACTTAGTGTTTAATTTGACATTAATATAGCCTCACCATCTTTCTTTTGCTTACTGTCTGCATGATGTATCTGCTTTCTCCCTTTAATTTTTACCCTCTCTGTCTTTATGTTTGCAGTTCTTGTAGACATGTAATTGAGTCTTGCTATTTATCCAGTATATCTCTGCTTTTTAATTGGAGTATTTGGTCCCTTTAAGTATAATGTGATTATTGATATGGCTCTAAGTCTCCCATCTTGCTATTTGTCCCTTTTGTTTGTTTGTTTGTCTCTATGTCCTTCCTAATTTCTTTTGATAATTGACTGTTTTTTAGTATCCATTTTAATTCCCATATTGGGTTTTTAGCTATGCCTAATTGTATTTTTTTAGCAGTTACTCTAGGGATTCCAATATGCATCCGTAACTTATCACAGTCAACTTAGAGCTAATATTGTACCACTTCATGTAAAATGTAAGGACTATTTGCCTCTCCCAGCCTTTGTGCTATTTTGTCATGTATTTTACGTTTACATACATTATAAATCCCACAATATAATGGGGTTTAAACTTAAAGGAGTTAAGAGGAGCACAAAAAAGTGGTCTTTTCTATATACTCACATATTTAACATCTGCTGCCCTGCTTTCCTTTTTGAAGGTCCAAGTTTCCTTCTGGGTTCATCTCCCATTTATCTAAAGAACTTCCTTTAGCATTTCTTCTAGTTAAGGTCTGCTAACATCAAATTTAGGTTTCGTTATCTGAAATGTCTTTATTTCACTCTTATTTCTGAAGGATATTTTTGATTGATACGTAGTTCTGGATTGGAAGAGGGTTTTTTTTGTTTTTCCTTTTAGTACTTGTAAAGATATCATTCTATCATCTTCTGGCTTCCATTGTTTGTTATGTGACATCAGCTGTCATTCATATCATTATATATAATGTATCTTGTATACAATATATCTTTTTCCCTCTGGCTATTGTTTTTTAAAATCAACTTTATTGAGGAATAATTTATATGTGATAAACTTTATCCATTTAAAATTTGATTAGTTTGACAGTTGTATGTGGCTATGAAACCACGCCACAATTAAGATGCAGAACATATCTTTAATCATGAAAGGATTTCTTATGCCCCTTTGCAGTCCATTTTTCTCTCCCCACAACACTTCCCATCTCAGGCAACCACTGATCTGATTTTTGTTACTATAGATTCTTTTGGATTTCATATAAATAGGATCATACAGTATGTATTAGGATGTGACTGGCCTCTTTCACTCAGCATAATTATTTTGAGATTCATCAATTCCATTATATAGCCATACCACAGATTATTTATCCATTCTCGTATTGATGGATATTTTTATTGTTTCTAGTTTAAGACTATTATGAATAAAGCTGCTGTCAACATTCATGTTCAATTCTTTGTGTGGTCATATGCTTTCATTTCTCTTGGATAAATACCTGTGAGTGAAATAACTGGGTCATGTGGTAGTATATGTTTAACTCTAGAAAACAGGTTGACGTTTTCTTGAGTGGTTGTCCTCAATGGTTGTTTTTAAGATATTCTATTTATCTTTGCTTTTCAGCAGTTTGATTATGGTATACCTCTGTGGGGCTTTCTTTTTATTTATCCTGCATGTGTGTTGGACTGTCATTGTTGCACAGGTCACTGGGACTCTGTTAAATTTTTTTTCAGTCTTTTTTCTTTCTGTTCTTCAGGTTGTATCATTTCTATTCATTTATCTTCATG